CTCTCTCCCCCTCCCCCTCCTTCTCCCTCTCTCTGTCCCTTACACACACACACACACACACACACACACACGCAGAGTCTTTCTATCTTAACTGGAATCTTTAAAAATATCTCGTAGCCTGCGACTTAGTAAATAAAGCTGTATTAACGGATATCTTTGGGCTCTCATATCCAGAGGGAAGACCAGCTTTGCTAGCAGATTGGGTATCATGCATATTTTGCAAGTTGGTAAAAACACAGCAGAGCTATGAACTTAGCTAAAACCAGAGGATGAGAATTTTTTTGAGCCAGAAGATCCTGGGCACCATAAAGACCATAAAGGACACCGTCTTCATGGTGCTAAGTGCTAAGATGTCTAAGAGAGGCCTGTTAGTGCCTGTACATCCTGCACTCTCAGGGGAGACCTATACTTTTGTGTGGATGAAAGTCAGTACAGCGGTAACTCGGTTTTCAAATGTCTCCGTCGATGAACATTTCGGGTCCTGAGTGCCGTAAACCTGGAAGGAAGCGCTTCGGTTTTCGAACCCGCCTAGGGAGTCGAACGTACCACGCGGCTCCCACTGAGGGCAAGGTCCTGAGGCCCAGCTGTCGGCTGTGGATCCCTCGGGTTTCAAACGTTTCAGAACCCGAACAGTCTCCGGGACGGATCACATTCAAAAACCGAGGCACCACTGTATATTAAAGGGGTAAAGTATTAAATGGAATTAAAGGTAAAAGAGTTTGGCATTACCTGACATATGGTAAGTTCTTCATAGTGTTTCTATTTTTTTCCCCTTCCACCCAAGGTAATTCCCTTTTAAAATATTGCTTCTCAATATTTGATGACAAAGTTTTGTCCTTAGCTAAAGGGAATTTAGGCATCAGTAGCAGGGGTGGAGAAGATTATTAGCATTACTTAATTAATTAATTTATTTTTATCCTCCCCGGAGGATATTGTTTCCATTGCTTTTTCAGAGAGAGTGGAAGGGAGGGGGAGAGAGAAAGAGAAACATCTACATGAGAGAGACACATCAGCTGGTTGCCTCCCTCTCATGCCCCACCTGGGGCAGAGCCTGCAACTGGGGTACATGCCCTTGGCCAGAATCGAACCCAGGACCCTTCAGTCCATGGGCCAACATTCTAAACACTGAGTCAAGCCAGGCAGGAAGAGGTTATTTTTACAGGACACTCTTCCCAGAGCTCCTCATCCTATGCACATGGGCAGCCTTCTCTTCTACCAGATAAACTTAACTTGACAAATATTTGCTTGGAAGTGTATCCCACACAACTGGAGTTCTACCCAGAGCCTCTCCGACCCACATACTAGTTCTGTGTACCAGTCCCCAGCTCCTGCTTGCTTTGCTGCTAACTGCTCGCACTGCGACCTTCAGAGGCTCACCCATGGACACAGCCAGAGAGCCTAAGAGCTGTATTCCTCCCTAAAGCAGCAACGGCTGATGGATGTGCGAGGAGACAAGCTCAGACCCCTTGTCTAGAGATGGGACAAACTTCGAAGTACAATTTATACTCCCAAATTTCCCAAAGGTTCAGACTGAGGCTGGAATCACTTAAAATTTCACCTTTGCTTGGCTTCTTCTCTTGTCCAATGTTCCCACTCCCTTCCCGGTTTCTCCTGGGAGCACATTTTTGATGTCACTGGCATAAAAATCCTTGGCTCGGGACCTGCATCTGGGAATACTCAGCCTAAAATAGTCATTATCATTCATTCATTCAAAAAATACACTCCCCTAGTAAGTTCTTATGTGCGTTACAAGATTTGATCAGTCCTTGGCCTCATAATGTTAACCATTGAGGAGGGCCAATCATTTGCTTAGCATTCTATTTAATTCACAAACGTTTATTGGGCTTTTACTCTGACTCAGAGTATGAGAAACTGAGTCAGTAAGTACAATGTGATAAGTACATCTTGAGTAATGTATACAACGCTATGGAAATATGATAGGACTGATATTTTTCCACGAAAGTGAAAGGTTTGGTCTCAGAGNTGCTATGGAAATATGATAGAAGGACTGATATTTTTCCACGAAAGTGAAAGGTTTGGTCTCAGAGGAGAAGCTGAATTAATTCCAGCCAGAAGCAGGGAGAGGCATTTTGGAAAGGGAATAGCAAACTCCACAGTAATTAGGTGTTAAAAGGCATTGGCTGGTCTCTTGAAGAGCCAGTAGTGTAGTGAATCAAAGCAGAGTTTACAAGGAGAGGAGAGGCTGGAGATAAAGCTGGAGGTCTAGGTTAGAGCTGCTCCGTGGTGGGCTCAGATACTGTAGAACTTTATCCTGTAATACTGGGGAAGCTTCTAAGATATTTAGGATTTGTCAAGCTTTGCCTTAGAAACAATCTGAAGGATGTGTTCCAGAGAAGAGACTCGGGTCAGAAACACCAATTGGGTAAAAGGCTGTCATTAGGTGAAATCATGTATAATTTCCAATATCCAACCATTTTGACCCAACAAAAATGACAATTTCATGCAGTTCCAACCAATGCACTAGGCAAGGAGGGTGAGGCACAATGACTAGAGACAAGGAGTAACTTAAAAGAGACACATAGGAAAGAAAATTGGCATGAAATGAATGGTCCATGGGATGCAGGGGCAGAGGAAGTTGCAGAAATGAGGTGTGACAGTGAGGCGAAGTTTTCCCATGAGAATGATGGAGCCAATCGTGGAGAATATCCATAAAAGAAACAGGGCTCACCAGAGAAGTAATGGGGACCATACCACACTTCAGAACTACAGGCTCTTGACATATAGCCTTGCAGTGCCTCACTTTTTTAGTTTCTTTTTCTGCTACTTGGCATTGTACAGACACATGATATTCAAATTCCTATAGTATCTGCTTCTGAAGTTGATCCAACAAAGAATGCAATCCCAAGTGCATTTACTTAGTAAAGCAGGCTTCTAAATAAGAACAAAAGCAGCATGCTCTAGCCGGTTTGGCTCAATGGTGAGAGTGTCGGCCCATGGACTGAAGGGCCTCGGGTTCGATTCCAGCCAAGGGCATATACCTAGGTTGCAGGCTCCATCCCCGGCCCCGGCCAGGGTGTGTGCAGGAGGCAACAAATTGATGTGTCTCTCTCACATCGATGTTTCTCTCTCTCTCCCTTCCACTCTCCCTAAAAAGCAAAGGAAAAATATCCTCGGGTGAGGATTTTTTTAAAAAAGAACGAGAGTAGCATAATATCAGGAAGAGAAACCTAGTGATCTTTTTGTAGGTTTATCATTCATTCATTCATTCATTCAAAAAGGTACACTCAGTGTCTAAGGAACCAGATCTAACCAGACCGTTCTTTAATACATGAAGGGCCGACCTTCTCATACACAGTGTTGCTGAAAGTCTCAGAGAATAAATAAGAAAACCAGTCTGTTTTTTCTACTCTGACCTCAACTCTTCCAAAGCCACAATATTTCTATAAAAAGTGCCCCTAAAATTTTTCTATTTGCTCTGAAATAGATATTGACTAAAGTGTAATTTTTGTTGCAAGGAAGACATGTAATTTTGTTTTCCTTTTAATAACACTGCCTTCCTGAAACAGGAACTATTTCTTTGCTTAACACAGTCAAAAATTGGAGAACTACATGTCTGTCTGGACATCTTATGTAATATACCACTTGGGATGGGGGGTGCTGTTTAAAATGATGTTAATCAAACTTTTGAGGGGAAAAAAGACTCTAGGAATCCAATAAAAAGACTGACTAAGAACACATTGAATGTTTCCTGCTATTTCTTGTAACAATTTTTTTGGTAAGAATTTAATTTTAATCTGCTATTTCTTGTGAGAGAATTACTGAGAAATATGTGAAAAAATATTTTCAGGTATCTTTTCTTAATATTTTTATTGCATCCAATGAATTTAATCCAGTATTTGGAGAATGCTGTTGAGGGATTGCCTTCAGGGTCATTTATGCCACAAATGCTTATTGACCATGACCTATGTGCCAGGTAGCTGCTGGACACACAGTGATAAACAAAACCAAGCCTGGGTCCTCCTCTCATGAAATTTGTAGCTTAGAGATAATGACAAATATTAAATAAACAATCACACAAATAACTATGAATTGCAAACTACCATGAGTTCCTGAAAATAGTGGATATTACCTAGTGGGAGATCAGTCCTAGTCAACAGGATATTTTCTGAGGAAGTGACTTTTCAAGTTGAGCTCTGAAGAATGAACGAAAGTCAGCAGGGTGATGAGGGACTGGAAGAGCACACTGGGCAGAGGAACTGCAAGTGCGAAGTCATGAGGTAGGCAGGAGGATGACGCTGCTCATGAAGTTCAGAGAAGGCTACTGTGGCCCAAGCACACAAGAGCAAGGACAAAAGGTTAAAAACAAAGCTGGAGTTGCAGCCAGGGGTAGATGAAACAGGACCTGTGAGGTCATGTTAAGAATCCTGGTCTTGCCCAGCCGGGTGTGGCTCAGCGGTTGAGCGTCAACCTAGGATCCAGGCGATCGGGGTTCGATTCCCGGTCAGGGCACAAGCCCGGGTTGCGGGCTCGATCAATGACTCTCTCGTCGTTGATGTTTCTATCTCTCTCTCTCCCTCTCCTTTCCTCTCTCTGAAATCAATAAAGATATATTTTAAAAAAAAAGAATTCTGGTCTTTATCTTAGAAGCAACAGGAAGTCACTGAAAGCTGGAAAGTAGTAGAATTTGATTCACCTGCACCAATCATTTGAAGTCAGTGAGTTTTTATTCAGCATTTAGCAAGTGCTGTGTAACTGCTTTAGGGAGTCAAACCTCACGTTAGACATGGTCTCTGCTCTCAAGTAATACCTGTTGAGGAAGTTTGGGGAGGAATAGTGTGGGTTAAAGCATGAAGGCAGGAATGAGAAAGTCTTGGGAAGATTATAGCTAAAGCATCTTTATTTACTGAATCATAGCCCATGTGAGCTGATATTCAAAATTTGGTTTTGCTTTTCTATGAAAATGTTCAAGGAAGCGTTCATTTGACAAAAGGAGACGTAATCAATAATTCTGTCCACTGAAACCCTCTGTTTGTTCACAGATCAGGCACCACAAAAACAACTATGCATCCAGCTCCACCTCCTTACCCCACCAGTGCTCCTCAACCTTGATGTGGAGCGACCCTTTGGAAAGGTGAGATTTAGGAACTGCCTGGATTTACAGCATAGACTTTCCCCATCTCCCTGCTCTGATCTGAGTTTGTGTGACAAAGGCGGAATGTCTCTAAGAATAAAATGGAAATTAAGCACCCCTGTCTGATTAAGGAGGCCTGGATTCCTTAGAGGAGCCGTTGTTGTTTTTATAACTTCACTTAGATCTCCTCCAACTGGTAACTCTCTGAAACCGGGTCCAATCTGATCGTGTGACTGATCAATTTTCATGTCTTGAAAGAGCCTGCATGTCACTGATTTTTCATTGTAAGAATAGTTTCGGAGAGTATTTTAAGGCTAAGCTACCGCTGTTTTAATTAGACAGCAGGACTCGGTGTGTTCTCCATATGGTTAGTACACTCTTGCTTGCCCTTTTGATTAGGTGTATTTTGTATAAACCCTGTAATTTAATGGGTAAGCACTAGAAAACAGAACATAATGCCAAATATGATACATAGTTGTTCATTTTAAATTTTGAACACTTGCCTCTCCTCCCTCAAACATTTCTTTTCAATATTTTTGTTACTGACTGTAGGGTTAACTGCAAGAGTAGCCTTCGGGGTAGTATGGCATTGTGGGATTTTTTTTATTTTAATGAGATAATGTGAAAAGCTCCAAGCTTGACTTTTTGCATAGGTTGAACTCCTCATTTTAGTGAAAAGTCAACGTGTTTGTTTATTCATTTCCTGGTTAAGTCTGGGTATAATAACTCCCCTACTCAGTATAAGTTGTTATGATGGATTGGACATTCAAGTAGCTCAATTTCTTTGGCCAGTTGGTGTCCCGTGGTTGAAGTAATGGAAAGATAATGACTTTTATTCTTCTGGGGAAGATATGAATGTGTTTTTCAATAGAAATACGGTGCACAACACACCTGAAGGATACGAATCAGTTGGTTGATCCTGAAACATAGCTTACAAATCACGAGGCCAATAAAAGTTTTTCTCAGTTCACCTTATGGTCTTACATCCTTTCTCTATATACATACATATAATTCACATAATCTGGGCACTGTTTTTTTCTAAACACAGATTCCCTTGGAAAACAAATGAAGGGAAAATAAGGGGAGATATCCAGCCCCCATCTCTTTATTAGTAGGTGTACTCTAATTTCATTTTTAATTTTTTAGAGTAAATCTTATTATACTTTCTCCTCATCATAAAAATAAGCCAGGCTATTTGCAGAAACTTTGGAAAATAAAGAATATTAGAAAGAAAGGTAGCTTACTAAACTTTACTTCCCTTACTCAAGAAAACTCCACCATCATTTTAGTCTATTTTTCTCTTATTTTTCCTCTGCACTTTTCTTAATTTTGTTTTACATACTTATGATAATTTTATATGTGCATTACTGTATCCTGTTTTGTTTCACTTAACATAAATAAGAATTCCCTAGATTATTCACAAATTATTTTTAAAGTAATTTTAATATTTATATAATAGTCTATTAAAAGGATACACTGTAGTTTGCTTAATCATAATCTGTATTCAAATTGGCACCATGATGAATAGAGCTAAATCATAATCCAAACTTGAAATGCAGAGGCTTTTAAAATATATTTGATTGTTTTTTAACCATAAATTTACTTTAAAGAATAAATAATATGTAAAATTATACTATTCTTTAAAGGTGCATATAGTCTAACTTCTTTCCAAAAGAATTATAGATTTAAAATTTCTTCAGCAATGAGTGAGAGTTTCTGCTTTGCTTCACCTTAACCCACACTGTATATTATCTTAAAAAAAAATACACACACACTACTTTGTTGGTTTGATAGGACAAAAAATTGCAGGTTATGTCTATTTCAATTAGCATTTCTCCTTATACCCTTTTTGAGGTATAGTTATATACTGACTAGGGTCTGTTTTCATGGCAAGATTATTTGATCACTCAATGTGTCTACAATTGATGTAGCTTCATGACTTGATAACTCACCTGGATTACAAACTTGGAAGCCAGGAAAGTTACTCAGAAAAAGCATACACATAGCATATAAATGATCCAACAGCGTAAGTGATTCAAAATCCAAAGTTATTTAAATTGCTTTTATTTTCAAAATGTACATGTAATTACTTCATACCAGAATGTTTTGATGTCTAAAGCATTTATATTCTTACTCACATCTTACTCTTCACACCATCAAAAAATATATATCCCTATTTATGCTTACTACATCTTTCTCTCTCTGTTCTAACAGGTCATGAAAGAACGGAGATGGACTTTTTCTTAAAATTCCTGCTTCCCTGAATTTGTGTATTTCTTCCCACCTGAGAAGGAAAATTCTATATTTTTATTTGGATTGTTTCTTCATTTTGATCTTTTTGTACTTTAATTTTTTTTTGTCAGTAATACCCGCTGAGAATAGGTTTGTTATTTTAACCTATGCTTCTGAGGGTTAAATTGACTTCTTGAGCTGGGTTTTGAGTATATATTTAAGAAGTTGGGCAGGATTACACCGATGATGATTGGTGAAAAAGTGAGAAAAAGAAAAACCTATTTTCCAGGAGTTTGTCCACAATTTCAAACCTTTGCCTGAATTTCAACCGTGAGGACACCTTTACATTTAGTGGTTGTTTTGATTTTACAATATGAGTTTGAAAAATCAGTATAAGTTTTTGATAACATAAAGTCAACATATTGAGAGCAGAATTCAGTTAGCAGGACATAAATTTAATGAAATAACAAAAGTATATCAATTGAAGGCAGTGCTATACCCTGACAAAAGTTATTTGTGCAAAATGTGTGATTACTTTTTTGGAGATGCTGTGTCCTTGCTAAGCGTGGAACTCAAAGTCCCTACATCTATATTCTAGTTATGTGTCATTTAGTAACTCTGGCATCAGTTTAATTCTTATTTCTCTGTCTTTGAAGACTCAATGGAGTGATGAAGCTGAGGGCTCTCTTGAAGTGTCATAGAAAACAATAATGAGGCTAGATGATTAACTGTTGAATTAAAGCAATGAAACACCCCAGCACAGCCTTCTGATTCACCACTATCAGTCCAGGATTTCTTAAAATTTATTCTCTAGTGGCATAAAAAGGTCAACATGAATAAGTAACATAGTTATCAAATATCAAATTTTGTGACATTTTATGAAAGGGAGAAATCTATTTTGTCTGTGACTCCACTGTCATTTCTGCCAACTAAATTAAGGTAAAATAGTTGAGTCATTCCTCTTAAATAGTTGAACCAGTTGTGAATAGGTTATAAACTAAATTATTTTCATTCAAACCTGTATTTGAAATAGCCTTATAACTAGCACAAAGCAGATGCTGTACACAATCCTTTGATTCAGGTTTGAATTCAACACATTCTATTGAGCAAGTAGAATTTTTTAATAATACAAATGCCCGTGCTTCTGTTGCATCTATCTGTCTATCATTTACCTTTGTGGTTGTCTAGCTGTCATCTATTTATTATTTTATTTTTACAAAAGAAGGTAAAGTTTACAGAGAGTTTGTCCAATGTCACATGGCTAATACAGGAAATCAAATCCAAGTTCAAGTATTTTGATTCCAGATATCCCGATAGCACAGCAGGATGTGAGACTTGCTACGATGATATTCCATTTATAAGACAATGTGCTGTAGTAATATAAGCACGGGCTTTGGAATCAAACTTGGATTTAAATCTGGCTGTTTCACCCACTAGCTCTGTGACCTTGAGAAAGTTAATTGACCTCATGCTGTCTCAGTGAATAAATCTACACACCAAAGCTAATAATACTTACCTGTGAGGTTACTGTGATAATGTATGTAAAGCGAGTGTAACACAAAAGGTACTGAGTGTTAGCTGTGATTAATTCTTTATCCAGGCTTATCTCCAACTCTATGATATGAGTTCTCAATTTCAGCTATAAACTGGCTTCCTTACTGTGTGGGTTTAAATGTCATGGACAGAATCAGCTTCAGATCCCTGGCTGTTATTCTTGTCTATAATACCTCATGATTAATTTTGCCCATGCAAAACCTACTCATCTCTCACATGTTCAAATCTCACCTATTCTTCAGCCTTGAACAATTTAAATATCTTTGTTCTCTTCTTACCTCTCTTCATAACTCTGAAGTCATATAGTGCTTATTTTGAGGAGTACTGTAATGTTCCTTAACTATTTGCACTATGAATGTCCTTTTCCCTTGACAAAATTTTATTTCATGGAGTCAGGACTCTTTCTTTAGATTTTCTTCGTAGCTCTCTTAGCACCAGTTCCAGTACCTGACACCAAGAAAGATGCTATTTATTTGGTAAATTCTCAACAGAGGAACAATTTATGTACAAGATCAGCCATTGAACATTTCAACAAATGTGGTAGAAAGCCCTTTGTTTCCATGTTGTTCAGTTTGGGATTTTTGTATTAAACTCTCCTGACCTGAAACTCTACATCCAGGCAGAATAACCATAGGCAGTTCAATATAATGTTTGTTGAGGCTCTTTATGTGAAAGTAATAAAGTTAAAAAATGATTGGAAATGTTTGAAAAATAATGACTCTTTGGTAAAGATATTTCTCAATTAGGAATAATCCTTGTCCAATAAGTTTGAAATCTGATAAAGAGACAGTATATGTCAGTATAAAATATTTTAGATGCTTTTTAATTCACAGAAAAAGTATCCATTGCATACTAAATTCACCCAAAATAGTAAGCTCTATAACATCAAATATTCTGGATCATGATTCAGTAACACACTTACTGATGTTTAACAAATGCCTTCATCTTTTATTCTCTATTGTCTTCAATAAACACAGATCCTCATAATTATACAATGAGGTTATAGTAAGGATAGAATTAAACCTCAAGATAAAATAAGTTTCTTAGGAACTCTGTAAAAAACATTACATGTGGAGAAATGGTGCTTGATCTACATTTTATTGTAATTATAGTAATTACTATAAAGCTCTATGGGATCCATATGTAAAATAAATATGTGGTATTAATGTGCTTTATAAGTGGGCTGTACAGACCTAGCTCTTGACTACATATAATATATA